ATCCAGAAGTGAAACATTCCGGACTTGCCTCACCATCCAGAACGTGGATTTCTGGCTAAAAATAAAGCACAGGGGCGAAACTCCTCCAAGTTTTATTTAGCTCAGGCACAAGCTGAAATACAAAGAGATTAGGGAAGTTCACCTATTTACAGGGCCTTCAAAAACTCCTCCTTTTTCTATGTCAAGAATAATAAAAGTGGATCCACACGCAAATGTTGTTAAGGTCTATTGAGGGGACGCCAGGCAAAATTCTTGAGTCTACGTATTAACTAACTTTAAGAGTTGGGTTTAGTGCCACTGGCCAGCCCTATAAAGCTCATCCTTCCTGGAGGAGTGGAGCTGAATATCACAGCCAAATTGTGCCAGGTCCAAAATATGCCATGGACTGTCTTCAGCATCAGAGATAAAATATTCCAAAGTTTTCTTCGACCCATTGTTCCTGGTTAGTATTGTCTTAATTTGAAAAAGGACCTCCCCTCCTTGCTGTGCAAACCATTGCTTCGACATTACCTGTTTAACTCAAACCCCTGTCATTCTCAATGAAGACAAGCAATGCCAACATCACGGCTTCAGTTGCTCAATGATTTATTATTCTAAATCTCAAGCTAATCTGATATGCCAGAAACATAATTCTGAGATGACTGATATCCCGGAAGATTTACCCCAAACAATTTCTAGTTGGTTTCCTCATTTCTGGGTATTTAACTTTGTGACATCACCACAATATGAAACAACCCATAAATCAGTTCTAGAGCAAATATGGAAGTGTTCACAAAATGACACTCAGACTTTGCTTGGCAAAAATAATTCTTCCCCAGGATTCACTCTGCATAGACCACCAAAAAAGGGTATGATTTTACTTTAAACTCTTTGTACAATACATTGTAAAGGCCATGGTACTCTACTACTGCTAATGTCAGGGACATTTTGTGAAAAGGTAAGTGATTGCAAAGCTGTGGTGTCATACTGCTATCCTTGTAAAGTACCAAAAAACCCCAGCCTCTCCATTCTGTCTATATTCAAAAGGGGTAATACTCATTCAATTTTAGCTTCTACATGCCTTCTGAAGATCTGGCACAACAATCAGTGATACAGAAGGAAGATGAAGATGATGATGAGGGGGCAAGAACAGAGACCTTACTACTTCCTCGTGGTCAATTAAATGACAGCAACGATGGTGATAAAAGGGACATGATAATGATTTGTAGCCAATTTCTTGTTCAATTTCATTCTCCCAACTGTCTACAGCTACCTCATGCATCACTCCCTGGCACCAGCTCAGTTACTTGCACCCAGGGCAATAATATAATGTTAATTAGAATGTGGCACTTGATGGTTTGCACAGCAAGAGGACTGGAAAGATAGCAAAGATGTGCTACCACTCTTGCAGAAGTAGACAGGTACTCTGATCTTTCTGAAGTTTTGGGTAAAAGTATTCTTGACTTTTGTGTCATTTGCCATATGTAGCTATCCCATGGTAACAACACAGAAATCAGTGGAAGATTGTGAAACAATTACCCCAGATAACAGTGGCAGATTGTTCAGCAACTGAGTTATTGTTATAAAATTAAATTTTGTGAATGCTGGAAATTGGAAATAAAACGAGGAACTGAAATGTGCTAAAATGCAGCATCAATGGAGGAAGAAACAAAGTTAGTGTCTTGAGTCCAAAATGTCTCTTCTTCTGGGAGATTGGGGTGGGGGGACAGTGGAGGGGGCGAGGTTGTACTGGTCTCAAAAAAGTAACTGTGTTTCTCTCTCTACAGGTGCTACTAGACCTGCTGAGCTTCTCCAGCATTTATTCCCTGTATTAAATTATTAGTTTTGTACACTGAGTAAAACAAAATTCTACAAGCTTTTTAAACAATTCTATCAAGAAATGCGTGCATGTATTGTCACATTAGATCACATAATAAAGTTTGCTGTTAATTCAAGCATATGACAGTCTTCTCTATACAATGACTGACCAGCTGCATATGCTGATAAAATGTTCCCAGTTGCTGAAATAAAACACAGTAGAGAAATGCTGGAAGAACTCGGGGATAACAGGGTGTAGAGCTGGATGAACACAGCAGGCCAAGCAGCATCAGAGGAGCAGGAAGGCTGACGTTTTGGGCCTAGATCCTTCTTCAGAAATGGGGGAGGGGAAGGGGGTTCTGAAATAAATAGGGAGAGAGGGGGGAGGTGGATAAAGATGGATAGAGGAGTAGATAGGTGGAGAGGAAACAGACAGGTCAAAGAGGCGGGGATGGAGCCAGTAAAGGTGAGTGTAGGTGGGGAGTTAGGGAGGAGATAGGTCAGTCCAGGGAGGATGGACAGGTCAAGGGAGCGGGATGAGGTTAGTAGGTAGGAGATGGGGGTGGGGCTTGAGGTGGGAGGAGTGGATAGGTGGGAGGAAGGACAGGTTAGGGAGGCGGGGACAAGCTGGACTGGTTTTGGGATGCGGTAGGGGGAGGGGAGATTTTGAAGCTTGTGAAGTCCACATTGATACCATTGGGCTGCAGGGTTCCCAAGTGGAATATGAGTTGCTGTTCCTGCAACCTTCGGGTGGCATCGTTGTGGCATTGCAGGAGGCCCAGGATGGACATGTCGTCTGAGGAATGGGAGGGGGAGTTGAAATGGTTCGCGACTGGGAGGTGCAGTTGTTTAGTGCAAACCGAGTGTAGGTGTTCTGCAAAGCGCTCCCCAAGCCTCCGCTTGGTTTCCCCGATGTAGAGGAGGCCACAGCGGGTACAGTATACCACATTGGCAGATGTGCAGGTGAACATCTGCTTGATGTGGAAAGTCTTCTTGGGGCCTGGGATGGGGGTGAGGAGGGAGGCATAGGGGCAGGTGTAGCACTTCCTGCAGTTGCAGGGAAAAGTGCCGGGTGTGGTGGGGCTGGAAGGGAGTGTGGAGCGGACAAGGGAGTTCTGGAGAGAGTGGTCCCTCCGGAAAGCAGATAAGGGTGGGGAGGGAAAAATATCTTTGCTGGTGGGGTCAGATTGCAGATGGCGGAAGTGTTGGAGGATGATGCGTTGGATAGATTGCAGATGGCGGAAGTGTCGGAGGATAATGCGTTGGATAGATTGCAGAACTCATCAGGTCTAGCAGCAGTACACAGGATGGAATAAAGAAAGCAAGAATCTTGTACTATTCGAATCCCTTAATAGAAACATCACTGACTGAGATCAAATGTTATACTGTCCTTCATAGAATCCTAGCAAACATTTGACTGGTGAATCAACTAGTACATGCAACAGACTGAAGCCTATTAATGAGTTTGGTATAAAACAAACATAGAAGAGCTTGAAAATGCAATCACCTCCTTAGCATCAGGAAAGACTAAGGAATTGAAACTGGGTGGACAGGTTTTGATTACACCCCCACAATGTCCAGTTTTCCCCGGAGGATGACTTGATAGATGCAAACATCAGTCAACTGTATAAGAACAAATGTTCAATGTGACAATTTTAGCTTGATATCTGTAGAGAAGTTACAAAATACAGTTAATCTGACAATTACTGATCTTTTGTACATCTTCTGATATGTTTTTAGCCAGTGAAACTTTTGGTGCATCCAACATACCTTCTGCTATGAGTCCTGCCTTCTTTAGAGAGATGAACAAAGAAATTTTATTGATAACTGGTGGGGAATTCCTCTCCTTAATGTTAAAATATTTGCATTTGTCAAAGTGGCAAGATATTTGTTCAATGCAATGTGATTTTTGCTTGAAAGTGCAAAGTGTCAGGAATGGGGAATGTCTCACTAAATGACTGATGGAAGTTTTTGATCTGGTCACCTGAAAGGGTCTATATCAATTCTTGGCCAGAATTGGCTCTCCATCACTTTCAATCCTCCTCAGTCTGATTTGGTCTTTTCATAATGGCACAAACTAAATACGATGATAATCGATCTGACTGCTTTGAAATCTGCCATAGAATTAACCAGAAGAAATGTGGATATGATAAATCACAAACAAAAACAGAAATTGCTGGAAAAGCTCAGCAGGTCTGGCAGCATCTGTGGAGAGAAATCAGAGTTAACGTTTAGGGTTGAGTGACCCTTCCTCATAACTGAGTTTTTCCAGCAATTTCTGTTTTTGTTTGTGATAGAGTTAACCAGGACGTGTTCTGTTGAAATGTCCTTTGCCATATTAATCTTTCTGCTGTTTTATGTCATGTCCTTTTTTTCTTGTAGCAAAGGTTTACTAGTTCATACGAGGTCAGTTGTAAGTGTGCTCTTACTGTCCACCCCACACAGTGAAGTGCAGTTTCACCAGTTTTTCACATTGATTTTACTAGCCTGTAATGAATATTGGGGAAAAAAAACTCTCTAAAAATAGCAGGGATTATATAAGGAGACATGTTGAGTGCACCTAAAGTTTCAACAGCTAAAACCATATTAAACGTAAAAAGGTTATGTTGGATCAACTGTATTTGGTAACTTGTTCCTAGGTATCAAAATAAATTCTGACATTGAAAAGACAACAACCTGATGTTCACTTTTAAATGTAGCCCTAAATTCGACTCAAATGTGAATTACTATTAAACTCAAAATGGGTATAAATAAATGCCATGAGTCTCAGAAACAGAAGAGTATGGTTTATATTTCACACTTCTGTTTAATATATAGATGCCTTTAGGGAATCAATACATAATTATCTTAGGACGAATTGTAATATTGACAATGTAGGTTTGTGGTGTGGAATCTATATCAATCCAGTACGCTTCCATTAGGATTACCTAACGACCCCAAAGGCAGAATGAGAAAGGAAAACTTTGGTAACAAGTGGATTTACAACGAGGAATCAATTAAGGTTTCAAATTCCAACACCATAATTTATATATTGTTAACTGTAAATATTCAAAAGGTACATCTCCTGATTCAAACTAATGACCTGATAAATAGGGAAAAGTGATTCTGACCAATCCACAATTAGATCAAAACACAGGCTTTTGGCTTTTAATGAAAGTGAGATGATAATGCTCACAAAACAGTAACACAAATTGTAAAATGTCTATGTTTATACATCCTGTTTATTTAATGTGCTTCTGCAGGATATAAATAATGACAATATTACAAAATTTGTAACTGGAAGCCCAAGCATATATACAATGATTAGTTGCAGCGAGGCCACTATTTTATCCCCATACATTTTCATTTTGGTACCATGTTTACAGTGTTTGTTTTTAAACTGCCAAGTTACTACATACATGTATCAACAGTGAATAGGCAAAATATGTACAAGGAAACCGCATTGTTCAAGTACTATAATACCGTATTAAAAGATTAACATTGAATTGAACTAAAATTCAGTCCAACCATACAATATACATTTGATTATCAATTACAATCCAAGCTCTAATAGTCATCCCTTAATTTATATTTGGGTGACCTTTATCAGTAAGCCCAGCTTAGTTTCTATATCATATAAAAATAATGTAACATTGAAACAACTTAAGACCATTATTACACAAGTTCAATAAGGATTCTAAAATAAACATTAAATTGATTCACAATAGAATTTTGTTTCAAATAGATGGTGCCATAATAACTGTTATCATCACCATTCTTTACAATGCTGCCTATTCACATCACAGTTGAATTCTAGCTCAACGTGGTTTCAATTGGCAGTGCAGCATAGCTGTATTATACGCAGCTGCATTTTTTTTTTTGCAAACAATTGAGAAACATGATGATTCTCATATTCAATAAACATTGACCGCTTCAGGTAGTAAATTAGTTGATTGTGGTTTCACAGGTTTAGTTCAAAAAAAAATGTCATGTGCTGCATTGTTTTGAAGAAATCAGTCACAGATCTTAGTCTTTGCCTCAAACGGAAGATGCATCACACTGCCGAGCAAGTCACTATTCGTGAAATTTTGTGTTTTGTACTATAGAACAAAAATATATTCATTGTGCCATGTTTCATTTAAATCTCACAATCACACGTGCAGACAATATATTTTCTGAAATAGCTACGTTTGTGTTTTAAATCTGAAAAGGCAACCTCTTCTGCATCCAGCACTGTTACTTGGATTGCTAACGTATCCGTTGTCAGTGCATTGTATAGAATATGCAGTGTGCCTCCACCTGCAATGTAATGCTGTTGGTTTGCAGAAATTAACGCCTTCTTCTACAGCACAAAGGACCTCACTAACTTTGCAATAGGCTACATTGGAATGATGGATGACTTTATCCCCCCAAGTCATAGAGAAAATTGTTTTTAAAATTTGGGATTTCACTTCCTTTAAGCCCCTCAATTGCCATTTGTCAAAATGTTTTAAAATTAGATAACTATTCTGAATACTGTTTAGAAATAAGACTGAACATTGGTTTCAAGTGTAAAAGTCCTGATATTTGTTTCTGTCTTTTAAAACATTCTTCATTCTTTCACATTTTAAGAGCAAGATGTCATAAAAATCACTACTGCTTACCTGAAAAAACAATAAATAAAAATATCCTCATACTAACACTTGCCGTACCACATTACCAAAGAAAAAAAATGATAAAATTCTTTTCAGTGCAGATCAGTGTTTGAAATAAGGGTGAGAGAACCTTTGAAGGTATTCGTCTGATTGAATATTGATAAGTTGTGAAATTTCCAGTAAAACAATAGTGAACTTCACAACAATTGCCTAAAGCATTAGCAAACCACTAAAACAGAGCAGTAATTTCAAAACAAAAGCAGTTATTGAAATATCTCAGCTTAGCTTTTTTTTCCAAACAACATCCCATGGCTGCAATACATAAATTGCAGAATTTTTGTTAAAAAGTGTTAGTCCAAAAGGGATTTTTAAAAAAAATGCTTAGACTTGTTATCAGCTTTTAGCAGCATTCAAGTTATCAGATGGGCAGAAGAGAGCTTGAGAGTTAGAGTCCACTGATTTCTTCTAAATCGCAATGACCCAAAAAAATTTGAAGAGCAAAGTTACATCAAGACCACGAAAAAACTCTTGAAACTGCATCAGCTTAAATCCTTCTGATGGACTGGTTTTAAATAAGTCTAAAGACAGTTGTTATGTGTCAGTGTCATTCCTGTTGCTACAGTGAGAGGAATGTCAAGGAAAAAGAGCAGCTTCATGCAGTGATGACAGTAATTGTGTAAAGGTCACTCAGCGAGTGCAGTTTTCCTCTCCACTGGGTCAGAGGTCACCAGAGGAGACAAAATGTGCTGCTTGCAGTGATTGCTCAAAAGAGTGCGAAGGCACAGACAGAGGAGAATGAGACATAGCGTTTAGAATATCGTGGTCTCATACTTAGTGCTCATCGCCCTTTTTGATTCTTGGACAGGTTCCACAATCCAAGGTACATTAGGATGAGTCTTTTGTTCCAGAAGAGGTTGATCGATCTGCAGGCAAAAAATAAAAAGAAGACTCCTTAGCAAACGGGGATATCAATTATTGATGAATAATAAAATTAATCAACACACGAGAGTTCTAATGCCTCCACAAACCATGTTCAAATTCTCTTTGACATGAAGTAAGGCTACATTCCATTTCAATTCTACTGAAAGAAACAGTAGTTGCATTTGAATAACAGCAAAGTACAGTAGCCCCATCACATGACTTCCTCAGCCATATGAATGTTAAGCCTGGCTTCCGCACCTACTGAACATCTCAGGTGTACTGGATGCTGAGAGAGGTCACTCCAACATGTGAAGCCTGCATACACACACACACACACACACACACACACACACATACATATATTTACACATCAAAACTCAGTTATCTGAAATAAGTTTATTCACAAACTAGTTTGGTTTCCACTATAAACAATTCAAATAAAGATGAAAACTAAAAGGTATAATCGCACCTATTGGAAGAAAAGCTAATTGATTTTTTACTGAGGTGTTCTATCACAATAATTAAATTGAAATTAATTATTTATAATGCAATTGAAATCTATGAAAATTTTACAGTAATATTTTACAATTTGGGGAGAGTAGTAGCTGATCAGCGTGCTATGTATTACTGGATATTGCTAAAATAACATCAATTTTCAGAAATAGTGTTTTATGGCTGCTTTAAAGTCTTGCATAAACTGCCAAGTGTTTGTCAACTTATGGTTGAAGCTTCACTAGCCAGGTAAATAAATTTACCAATCTGCAAGTGTTAGAAGTGACAGTTTATATGAACCCATAGTAAGTTTGGTACTGAACAACAACAATAATACTAATGAAAGGGCCTCAATGGCATTTAAGCAATGTTAATTTTTCACCCTTGAGAGCTAGTCCTAATAAAGCAGGCTACTTACTACATTTGAATGAGTCTTTAAATGATCATAGGACCAGCAGCAACCCTGGAGAATAGGAATACCTACTGGCCACAGAGCAGCACAGTGCATAGTAAGTTGTGCCATTGAGTAGGTTGGATGCAAGCTTGGATCTGCAACTTCCCACATGAGGAGTTCCAGATCTCAGTTGGCCCTTCAGAACAAGCACTGGGCAGAGGTGAGGCGTTTCCGTGCAAGGCAGGAGGGAGGGGAGGTGGGTAGGCAAGGGGGAGGAAACAGAGGCAGTTTCATCCCAGGCCACTTCCACACACCACCGCACAACGCCCCAGTTTACAGCAGCATCAGACTGCCCTGGCTGTAGCTACTCTGGGAGAGGAGGTAAATATATTTCAAAAAAAGGGGCCAAAAGAAAGAAAAACAGATCCGGTCATATTTCACTTTCTCCCCCACCGCCCCCCACCTCCACCCGTACCCCACTGCTGCACGATACTTGGAAGTTTAGAAACGTCAATTGTTTTGTGCTCATTTTAAATTACACTATTTAGACGATTACAGCATAGGCCAGCTGCAAAAGACACGTACCTAGTGTTTTACAGAAACTGGTCTTTGATGAAATCATGTAAAAAAAGACCATTCGTTGTTGGTATCCGCCTTATTACCATTCTGCATCTCCTAGAGACGGTGCGATTAAAACTGTTAAAGGGGAAATCTCACCACAGCACAATTCATTGTTATTGTGCGTAAACAATACATCATTCAAAAATACTAATAAACTATAGAGCAACTTGTATGTTAAGGCATTTTATCTATAACCTAAGTCAAACAAAGTAATATTGAAGCACCTTCCATGAAGTCTGTGAGATAGCAAAGTACAGTAATTATAGCAACCAACAAAACTCAAAAGAGTTGGTAAGTTGCTCCACTGTATTACTTTCGACTATTTACTTAACACAGATTATGTTAAAACCCATGATGTGACTCATAATTTCATGGAGGTTTTTAAGATCTGAAAACCTGGAAGGTGCAACTTAGAGATCTTACTGCCAGGTGGGTTCAAAGAAAATCTTTACATTGGTGTGATTAAACACACAGGATTCTAAAATAATACATTAAGCAAATTCCTTGAATGAGAAATTAAATGTACATTTGATGCACTAGATATTATGTTTACAAAACCATTCTATTTGCACCAAAAGCTGAGGTGCTCAGTTACTGGAAACATATACCACCAGTTCATAACAAGCAGCAAAAGACGAAGTGGCAGATTTAACAAGCTTAATACTAACAGCACTGGGTGTACATTTGCTTTGCTAACTGCATTGGTTTGCTTACTGCAATATAAGAAAATGTTCTTTTTTGAATCTCTAGTGGCATTAATTCAGGCCGATTTGAAAAATGCCCAATTAAACTGCTAATTTTCACTGTACTGTTAGTAAGCGTCCTGTATGGTCCAAGCCACAAAAGCAAATCTAATCCTAATGCATTCAATTTTTAAAACATTTTTTAAAAAAAACCATGATTAAAATGTTGCACATGGTCAGAAAGGTTGCATATCCAAAAGGACTACATTATTCTAGAATAATTTTAAATAGCAAAACTAAATTCCATCATATAATTCTAAATAATACAGCAGCTCAAAATTCCACAAGATTCCAGAATGGCATGGGCATTTGTTATCTATACAGAAATACATTATATGACTATATAATCTATAGCATGCTACACATCAGTTTTTTTTCTCAAAAATAAGTGGTGTCTCATTAGTGGTGACTATTGCTTTCAGACTACAGATTGTTCCTTTTAGATCCTATATAATGCGAGAATGCTGGGCTTTCAGAGGGTAGTCAAGATGCCATGGATGTAATACTGCAGTAACATGCAGTCATTTTACATGCTTCCACACTGCACTCTGTTCAGCAAATTAGTTTTTCTTTAAATATATAAAAGGGTTGGTTTGACATGTCTGCAATGAAATTAAGGTCTTGTACGTGTTAAGATTGAACAATGAACACAGCGATGTCTAGGCTAAAATTCAATGTGTGCCCAAGAGAACTCCAGCTGTCACATTTGTTTTCTATTCTTAATAAAGGTCTTTGAAAAACCGTACTGAAGTTGTGTTGTCACGATGGAGCTGCTGCAATAATACTTCATTCATGAATAATTAAATGCGCGTGAGAGAACTTACAAAGGAACCCAGGTTGCTTTTAATGCAGGCTTATATCTCATTAGCATTTATAATAATACACACAAATTTAAACTAATCTTGCCTGAAGTAGTTGCAGAAATAAACATGCTGAAGTGTGCCATGATCCCATAAGGAATGATGGGTGTCAGCAGATTTGTAAGCATAGCATTACACTTTAATTCACATCATTATTTTATCCTGATTATTTTACAAATAAAATGCATTTGATTTATTCGCTTCTAACATAATCTACCTTCCGAGTGTCCACTTACATTGACGAATAACTCAAAAATCAATTGAGAGTTTGAGATTAAATTGAACCTGCTATTTTGTTTCACTGAAAGGGAACTAAGAGCCATTTTCAAATGTTGGATGTTGCTGGTGGGCCAGTTCCTTGGATTTTTTTTTGGATGCTCTAATAAAATGAGCTGCTTCCTTTTCAACAAATTCAAATGAATCTAATCTTAAAATGTTTTTTTTCAAAGCGCAGTATTGAAGCATCACACCTACTGAATTTTAGCCTTGGACAGTTAGTAACATTTGATGCTAGCAAAGGAAAAACTCAAGAGGGGCAGACACGGCAATGCACACAAAGGCAAAATAAGACCTGAAACTTGTGCGGCAGAGAATGATGAAACTTGGAAGGAAGAGGAAGAGGAGGAGGAGGAGGATGGGGAGGCCTGTGAGGGGTGTAAATATGATCTAAGGACCATCTGTTATTTGGATGTTTCACCTGAAAGAAAGTGTAAACAACAACATAGCTGTACATATGCGTCATAAAGATGCAGAGGCATTTCTTAGCAAAAGAGACACTTTCAAGTGCTGTTATCTAAAAATTATTCAAGACAAAACCCTCTCCTGGGATTTCTCAGCATCACCGTCTCTCCAGCCCATGCCATACCCCATTCTCTTTCTGGTGTCATCAGCTGGAAATGGGGAAGGTGTAAGGGAGCTGCCAATGATGACTTTCACTCCCTCATATTGTGGCACCAATTTATTTCTCTTCCGCAGCTCCCTGAAGCCGACTAAACTGCAAACTTGCCACAAATGCAAGAATGGGTCATAGCTATCCCCTACCGCATTACGTTTAATGCATTGGCATAAAGAGACCTTGGTTTGGAGACAAATCTTTTAACCATCCTCGAACCCACTTATATTGCTTGGGAAAAATCTAAAAGACAATTGTTTTTTCCTACTCAAATTACATTTTCACATTTGATTTAACTAATATAGTACAAGTTTAGGTCTACAGGAAACAAATCCATACTTTATACTGAAGAAAATTAACAAGCAGTTATTTATTCATGTAAAAAAAAGTGCCAATTTTGCATAAGAGGTTGAACTTGAATTTATATTTGGTTCAAGAAAGAAACATTAACACCAAATTCCCTTGCTGCATAAAGCTGCTTCACTTTAATTGCTCTGGAATTTTTACATTTTTTTCCAGTCTACAAACATGTATTCCTCCAAAAAGAACACCTTAGCTTTATTGCACAAATGCTGGTGTCCTTCCAACTGAGGTTTGTTGAAGCATATTAGCCCTGTAAAGTTGTCAGCACCTTGAAGATCCCCCATCATCACTGTAAAGTTCCCCATCAGCACTACAAAGTATCCTGTCAGTGCTGTAAGGTATGTAAAAGCCAGACCACAAATTGTATTGGCATGCAACAGGGTAACTTGATTTTCTTGCATCACTTTTATGAGGTGAATACTTGACCAGAAGTTTCCACATCTTTGTTCACCTCAACTTATAACAGAAGTAACATGGAGACCCCAAAAAAATGATTTAAACAACAATGTCATGTCCAAGGGACGGGTTTCAAAATGCTAAATATGTTTAACAATACAATTTTACCCTAACAATATTGCAGAAATAATTTACCAATTTATTAGGTTATCAGCTACACTAGCAGTTTTGGTGTTGGTTG